TACAACATTAGTTTATAAATTATACTACAGATTATATTATTTTATTAAAGTTAAAATTCGTACGGTTCTAGAAATATATGTAAAGATATAGCTGATATAACACAGCTGTCAATTTACAGACAAATGACTAAAGGACTTTCTCCAACTTCATTTCTTTAGCATCCCCTTTCTGAGCTTTCAGATGTCCAGCACATGTGCAAACCAATTCCCTCTATTAAATCTCCTCTTTCAAGTACATAGTATCCTGGTTATATCACGTGTCGTTTATATAATTATTGTCAATTATATAATTTTTGTTTTAACGTCACAATTTTACCGAGCACAACTCTTAAAACATGTTAGCTATTGTGACTATTATTTAGTGTTCTCTTATGATTTTAACTAAGTCCCACTGCTATTCTTCCCCTTTCCCAGTCCTGGCCATGGCTGCTTTCTTTAAATCTCCATACCACATCTGAAACAAGACCGAAAGGCTTATTAACACTTAATTAAGAATATACAATGTAACAGAAGTTATAAAAGAACTACTCTCAGAAAACTTAAAACTGATTACTGGTATAGCTGTTCTCATTCTCACATGGCCGCTTAAGGGATTGTTTCCTCTGGCCTCCTCCAGTGGCAGAAGCCATCTTTCCTCTACGACCTAGGAGAAGCCTCTGGTTAGACCAGTCTCCCTACTTCAAGCTCCCTACTCCTTCTTCCTTCTAAAGACTCACTTTTCAGACATCTTTTCCTATTCTAGGATCTACTACTTTCCTGGATGATTGACAATGGAAATAACCAATCCATTCAGGGGCTACAGTGATCTCCAACCATAGAGAAGTCTAAATCGCAAGTATGGTCACCACCATGATCTAAAATCCAGCTCTTTTTGTTGTTTGCTTTTCTTCCACAATGGCCTCTTAGATGAAGACAATCAAGTTTGTTTAGAGTTGTATATACACAAAGAATCAATATGCTCTGATTCTCTTATGAATAAAAGTTTACGATGTGTTTTGACTTTAAAAAAATTATTATTAAAAAAAATTATTATGTCACTGTCATCCACCCAACAACCAAGTAAAAATAAATTGGAAATCATGCTTTTAAGAAATTCTGAAATCACCCTCCATCTCTCCACTCCACACCCTAATCAAGCCACCATATCACTTCTGCTCTAACTCAACTTGTTGACTCTCCTTTATCTTACACTGGGAAGAGTTACAAGGGTCATAGGACAACTCTAAGCCACCGCCCTCCTGGATCACTTAGAACTCAGCCCAGTTTGGTAAAACTGCCAGACCAGCAAGACTGTAGATTATTTTTTGCAACGTAACATGACTACCAGCTATCTTTGCATTTGTTCTCCTGTTACACGAATCTGTTACTAAGAGATCCTTGGTTTGGCAAGACCCACTACTTTTTCTGCTAGAAAATCCTGGCTTTGTCTCCCTGACCACTGCTATCAAAACCTTCCAACTATCCTCAGAGGAACACCACAAAAGGGAAACTAGTCTACTTTTACACATTCTTGTAAGCTCCATGGGGGCACATAATTACTTGTAAAAGTATTATCTACTAGGTTAAGTGCTAAGTTCAGGTTTAGGCCCTCTACTCTTTATGCAAGGATTGCCTCTTTTCTGATCAGACCACTCACAGGCAGAGCTATAATCTTTAAGAAGCCTATTAAGAGAAATGTGTCCAGAAAAAATTAACAAAGATGAGAGCATTAGAAACCATATCACATAAACAAAGTTTAAGCGAACTGCATCAAGCTTGAAGAGGACCCTAGATAAAGTTTAAGCATGTAGAAGGGGGATTCAATTTTTTATCCATGAGGCTACCAAAGGTAGTGGTTGTTGTTGTTAGGTGTTGTTAAGTCGGTCCCGACTCATAGCAACCCTGTGCACAACAGAATGAAATGCCACCTGGGTCTGCGCCACCCTCACAATCATTACACTTCAGCCCATTGTTGCAGCCACTGTGTCAATCCATCTTGTTGAGGGTCTTCCTCTTTTTCATTGACCATCTTCCAAGACAAACTTGTTCATTCTTCTGGTAGTCCACAGTATACCCAGTATTCTTGGCCAACGCCGTAATTCAAAGGCATCAATTCTTCTTCTGTTTTCCTTATTTTTGTCCAGCTTTCCCATGCATATGAGGCAATTGAAAACACCCAAAGGTAAGACTGCCTAAAATGGGTGAAGCTTATGGAGCAAAGATCAAAACACAATAAAACAAAACAAACAAACAAAATACCTAATTATACAGAATGGAATGGACATGCATTAAAATGGAATACCCAATAAGGAAAGAGTTGAAATGGAAGTTAGATAAATCACCAATCAGGAATGTTCTTAGAAGAGCTCACAAACTGAGACTTTTAAGCTTTTTTTGTGAGATGTTATGTGCCCATGGACGTCTCAAGTCTTGTAATACTAATGTGTGTGATTTTCCTATTGACAGAATATCGTTATAGTTTTCAACAATATTCTTCAGCCAAAATTGTTTGGGTGATCAGAGTGAGCTCCATGATGAAAGATGCTACATAAATTAAGAAGGCAGTTTTAGTCATAATAAATAATGATAATGATGATGAACAGCAGTGTCACTGAGAAGAAGCTGGCCTGCCATTTGGGAGCTCAGAGCAACCAGCTGTGAGCTAGAAATAATGAGTGCTCAGGCCAGGAGGATAGGCAGTGGCTGAGTCCACATTAACTGTTAAGCCAAAGACCTGGATCAAGACCCTGATTTGGAGGTGTGAGCATTTGAAATGGAAGCAACTACAATACTTATCCCTGAGCTTGAATATTGTCTTGGGCTTATGAGACTTTTTCCCAGAAAGCTCAACAAGGAGCTTTGTTATCTTCCTTTCCCTACAGAAGAGAAAACCGAGTTGATGGGAAAGAGCCAGAATTCTAAACTGGAGTTACAACTTCAAACCCAGTGCTCTTTCCATTATAGCCCACAGAGGGAACATTCTCTACCAGACCCCAGACAATTGAATGGAAGGAGAAAATTCTGACAAGAGCCAATTTGGATTAGAAAATGTCTAATGGGATCACGTCCATCAAAATGCCTTGCATAGCTCATTTAGGCTGAGAACACAGGCTGATACAACCCTTGGCCCATCCATTGTTGTCCCAGAGTCATACTCTGGAGCACATTCCAGGGGCCAGCTGTGTTCTGTTCTACCAGTAGAGGACACTACTTTAGGACCTCATCCAACTTGAAATCTACAAAGCATAATTGCTGCTAGAGGCCTGGCTGAATGTTACTTAGAGAAGGACTTGGCCTCCTAGTCCGCATGCGTGCTTGAAGGCTAACAAGACATCATAGGCAAAGATGAGAGACCCTGCTCTCTGCCCCACGTTCCCTGCCCTCAAAGAACTTCCACCAAGAAAACTAAAGCCTGAGAAGAACTGCTAAACCAAAAAGACCTGTTAGAAACACGTGGATGTGTTACTTCTCTCTTCTCTCTCTCTCATAAAGATTTACAGTCTTGGAAACCCCACAGGGTCGCTATGAGTCAGAATCGACTTGACAGCAGTGAGTTTGGTTTGGTTTTATATATACATATGGCTGGGATTTTTTTTTTTTTTAGTCTTTAGCTTTGATTTGCTTACATTTTGGCATAGTTTAACATATTTTATCATTTGGACTTCATGCTGTTCCTCTTTTTAATTGTATCATCTTTATACGTTTAACCTTTTCAACTGATCAATCTTCTTTTTATTCTTTTCCTTTGTTGCTAGTCTATTCTCAGCTGTTTGATACTGATTTAACTTTTCTCTTAAAAGAAATTAATTACTATATTATCTTAAATCATTCTCATTTATTTTAAGTAATTTCAATTTTATCTCTGAAGTTTTTGCTTTCTTTTTTAGCATTTCTTTTTAATTCTCATTTTATCTTTTCCATTTCACCTTTTCAATATTATTCTATTTTGTTTTCTGAACTTATATTTTTGCTTCTTTAATATTATTTTAAATATTATATTCTTTTAGATTTGTAGCTTTTAAAATTATTTTTCTTTCAATATTTTATTTATTGTGTATTCTATTTTTTCCATAGGATATAATGTTCATTCCTGCAGTAAGAAGAATCATCTATTACCATATCAAGGGGCTTTACCCTTTGTCCACAAAGTTTGAGACAGATATTTGTGAATGCTAACCCTGTCACCCCGACCCACTGGCCATGTGACCTTGGACACCTTAATCTGATATCTGGGCCTCAGGTCACAAACTCTGAGAATGCTGACCCTTTACAAAAGACCTTATCAAACACTGGGATTCATCTGTCCCGTTATGCATTCCAAAGGCAGGTAGGGGCTGGGTGTGGAAAAGAACTACCCTAACCTTCTCTCTTTCAGCCAACATTCCATGTAGCTAGGTGACGCTTTTAATTTAGCTGCATTCAGAATCCAGTAATATACAACTAAGAATAAATATTTATCTGTAGTAAGCACTAATATTGGAGTGGCACAAATGGTTAAGCGTCCCACTACTAGCCTTGGTTAATGGTTCAAATCCACCAAGGTGTGCCTCAGAAGACAGGCCTGGAAATCTGCTATGAAAGTTCACAGCATTGAAAACCCTCTGAAGCAGTTCCATACATGGGTCTACACATGCACACATGGTTGCCACGACTCAATCAACTCCACAGCAAGTAACAACAACAATAACAAAGCATTAATAAGTACATAAAAGCACTGGTCTTACCGTGAGGAGATCATGATTTGATTTCTGACTTTACCACTAACCTCCAATAGTCATTTGATTATTCTAGGCCCAAGTTTCCTCCTTTTGAGAAGGAGAGTGTTAGACTAGATTGTTTCTAAGGACTCCTCTGGCATTAATTGTCTATGAATCTATAACTTTCTATTCAAAGAAGCTGAGACTGGCATCAATGTGCATAAATACTGCATTGTTATTTGTACCAGAAAAGAGAAGCCCAAGAGAATTTACTCCTGACAAGGGTACCAAAACCTCTCCAATCATGCCCATCTGGTGAAACAACTACGCGTTACCATGGTAACATAAATGCGTGTTAGGTCTGGCCAGGTGCCTGACGTACTTGCCGTTGATGACACCATCTGGGTTGAGCATAGGGATGATCTTGAAAATGAAATTTTCTCTCAGGAGTCTAGCCACGGGGTCACTGCTGACCAGGAACTCCAAAGCCCCCTTCATTACCCAACTGGCATTGCTCTCTCCTGGGTGAACTCGGGCGGTGATCACCTGGTATGGACGTTGCCCTGCAGAAAAAGGGAGAAAAGAAAATTAAACCTAAATATGCTTTCCATTTCTATCAAGATAGTCTCCAGGGGGCCAGAATTATACCTGGCTGGCATGGAGTCCCAAATAGGTTGATTATTCTTAATACATATGATCTACATGAATTCATTTTCCATCCGCCTCCATCTTGCACTAGAAAACTCAAGATTTGAGTGTAAAGTTGAGCTCAAGGCCGTTATCAAAAGCATAAGTACCCGGTGGTATTAAAAGAGGCCAAAAAGTAAACTTTATGAAGATCACCAAAGAAAAGAATGAGCTCTCCAGAGTGCAGTCCTATTGTATGACACCAGATATCACAGGTTTGAAATTAAATCTCATCTTCATCATCTAACAGCTGTGAGATCTTATTTTCTCTGAGGCTATTTCTCATCTAAAAAATGGCAACAATAATACCTACCTCATCTGGTTGGTACACAAACAAAAGATTTAAATCTAAAATACCCAGCACATTGCATGCCATTCAGCACATGTTGGTTCCTTCCCTCCTCATTATAAATTTTGTGGGTAGTATGGTCCTCGTTATCTGTCAGAAGAAGGAGTTAAGTAGAGAAGTGATGTATTGGGAACTTTATGATTATAAGACATTTAACTCAATACTTGAGAGAAATCTGACAGAATGAATCTCTCAATTCTGGGGTCACAATACTTTCTTCACTTCTCAAAGGGTGTCACGAAAAGGCTCTCTACCAAGTGTGTACTGACCTCAGTAGAACTTATGGAGAATGCACTGATTAGGGAATGATATGCTTATCTTTCCTTCTTTGCCAATAGAAGACATCTGGAGTGTCAAAGTGTTGACTCATACTCTGAGGCCATATCTGTGTGTTGGTGGAAGTGAATTTTGATTGATTAGTGATATCTATCCCCCATATTCACAGGTATATGGAGATGGCATCCTACCAGGAATTCACCAAGTCTACTCTAACCCCTTGTCCTATTCTGTACTGTTTTTTTCTGACTCTTTTTTTCATTTGTATCTTCAACCAATTACTTATTGCTCCTAAATCCACTCTAATGGCAATAACCAAGTATTTTCCAATATCTAGCCACTAAACAGCCTAAAATTTAATAAACCAGTAATTGCTTTCTGTATCATTTAACTTCTGAGTTAAATATGGTTTTTCATCCCTTAAACTGGTAGTATTTTCTGAGGGCACAAACTGTGTCTAATTCTGTCCAAAAAAAGCTAAAACCGAATAGCTCTTGATAACAGACCTAAAGAACATATGACAGAAAATAGAAAAAGTAACTTAAAATACATATTAATATTATCATCAAATGAAACAAAAAAAAAAAAAAACACTGTCTCTTCCAGTTGTCTGCTAACAGCCACTGAGATCTATGTTTAAGGGGAATGTTGATAGCTGCTGTCAAGTCAGCTCTGACTCATGGTGACTGCTTGTACAGCAGAATGAAAATTGCCCAGTCCTTTGCTAGCTTCATGATCATTTATATGCTTGAGTTCATTGTTGCCGCCTCTGTGTATCTTCAGTGCCTTCCAAATTAGGGGGCTCATCTTCCAGCACTATATTAGGCAATATTCTGTTGTAATCCATGGGATTTTCATAGACTAATTTTTGGAAGAAGATTGCCAGGCCATTCTTCCTAGTCTGTCTTAGTCTGGAAGTTCCGCTGAAACCTATCCACTCTGGGTGGCTCTGCTGGTATTTGAAATACCACTGTCATAGCTTTCAGCATCACAGCAACATGCAAACCACTACAGTACAACAAACTGACAGACAGGTGGTGGCACAGATCAGTATGTTTTTATTGACTATGGTGAGGAAAAGTCACCTCAGCTCCTTATAGGTCCTCTATACATTGGAGATAATAGTTATGTTTTTCCTTAAACAGATGTCTTGAGCATGTTCAGGACTACAGCAGGCAAGCAAAGGTTGAACAAATTATGGTCCTTGTTTTCTAAGAGTCCATGGCATTTCTCAGTAGCAACAAATATGCAAGCAAATAATGACAAGTAGGGTTGCATCTAAAGCACCAAAAATAGACCTGACTGAGAGGTAAGGACTTTCTCAGAGATGTAATGTATTTGGACTGGATCTTGCAGCATAAGTTATCATCTTACCAGGTACAGAAGGTGAGAAAGGGCCTTCTAAGCAAAGGAAAAGTTACAGGCAGAAACACAGAGGAATGAAAGTCAGCAGCACATTCAAGAATGAAGAACAGTTACATGTGGCTGAAGCAAAGGGCTGGGCAAGGTCGCACATGAATGGAGAGAAGTAGACTGATGCTCAGCTGGTAAGAGCTTCCCTTACATAAACTGATCAGATATTTGCACTTATCCAATAGGCCAGAAGTTTTCAACCACGGAGTCAGTGTAACACTGTTGTGCTGTGATTAGCGGTGGGGTCTGTTACAGAATCATCAGTTACGAATAAACTACAAATATTTGCTTGTGACACTATAAAAATGGCACAAACTGCTGGTTGCCTGCCCAGCAACCATTCTGTTCTTCTTTCTTCCTAATAAGCCCCTGATTTTTGGGAGAGAAGAATGTTCCCAGCTTAAGATATCCAGGTTCACGGATATCTTCTGTTGTAGGTGGGAGTAAGTCATGTGACATAATTTTGGCCCGTGAGATGTAAATGGTAGCAGGGGTGATTCTTTTTGGAATACTGATTAAAGGAAACCATTTCACCTGGCAAATGCTTCTTGGTTTTTATCTCCTATCTTTTTCTCTTCCTCTTCTTTCTGCCTTCACCATAAATGTGAGATTTTCAGGTCAGGAAACCACCTTGAGAATCAAAGTCACATGCTAAGGTGGCATAACATTAGAAAGAGTCTGGATTCTTGATAAATTCCTTAAGCAGCTACACCACACCTTCTCTACTTTCTTCAATATTTCTGGATATTTGAGAACAATAAGCCCTTATTTGACTAAGCCAATCTAATCATGTTTATATTCCATGATGTTAAACTCCATACTAGTTTCTATAAATATAAGATGAAATTTAAAGCCATCCTTACAATAATGTTACCTTGAATGGCAGGCATTGTGGTGTGCCTTCTGGACTGGGGAGAAAATAGCGAAAGAGGGATTTGTAATGAGAATCATATTTGACAATGTGTGTCCCAGAAAAGAATGGTTGAGAGCCATGAACTTAAGAAATAGGGAGTCAATCAATGATGGGTTTTCAGCAGGAGAAAAACTTGCCAAAACCTGTGCTTTAGAAAAGTAATTCTGACTTCATTGTAGATGATACGTTTGCCTAATCAGAGACTTTAGGGTATAGTTGATTAGAGAATAGCTTTTAGAGCCATATTTCCAGAGTTCAAATTCCAGCTCTGCTATTTTCTACCAGAGATGATTTATGTTCCTCTATGCTGATGCAGAAACTAATAGCTCCTTACACATGCATTTGTTGAGAAGATGGAATTAATTTAACATGAAACACGCTTAAAAGAGTTGTTGATACATAGTAAGTGCTTAAATAAAGGTTAACTGCGGCACTGCTGCAGCTGTTACTGTTATTACTATTCCCAGGAATGTTCTGAGTTTTAAAGTTACCTGGGAAGTTCTCTGAGGCCAAACTTTAAAAGATTTGACCAATGTAATTGATTATTATTTTCCTTATGAACTGACACCATTAAGGTATTTTTGTTATACCTAGGCCATTGTTTACGTCTCGATTTCACTTATCAAAGACAAATGAGACAACTACCTTTAGGAAATCAAAGAGCAAAGGAATGGATGCTTTAAAATACCAATTGGAAAAATGTTTTATGACAAAACTAAGGAAGTTTCTGAAGAGATCAGCACTGGATTGGGTGTTCTATGTGTGAGACTAATGATTCACTAACTGAAACTTTCTAAATGAGCTTGTTGGGGAAAAGGGAAATACAGTAAGCTAGCTGAGCACAGTGGAAATTAACTGGAGGTCACCTTTTCCACTATATCATTTGCTCAGAGTCACTTTTCACTCCTTCCAAAGCAAGCTGCATTGGCACTCCAATAAAAAGCTTATTGAGAAATAAAGAGGCTTGATGAATTTGTACCCAATCAGTAGCCTATTTTCCGTTCTATAATTCCGTATCACTCTCTTTGTGGTTTTTGAACCGTGTTCATTTGCAGCATAGTGAACAGTAATAGTAAGTGCTCCTAGCCCAGCAAGAAGAAATAAAAAATAGCTTAAGCTCTTGTAAATTTTCGACACCAACGGAACGTTCTCATTGTCTGGACCAGTCAGCTCCCATTGCCTGATAGCCCCAGTACAATGCAGTGCATTAGTCAATAAGCCAAATGCAAGCCCTTGCAGAGAGACATTAACAGTGTGTTTCCATTGGAGGGTCAGGTTGATAATATGCTGTATTATAATACACCACATGACCTGGCAAGCTGTTCTGAGCATCTTAAAGAAGCAAATGGGGAAAACTATAGGTTCTCATAAAGACATAAGCAGCACTTCAGTCATTTCTAGTTGATTTTCCTCTCTCCCCCTCTGTGATTTAAGACAATTTTGCAGTCATATCAGTGAATTAAACTTACGGGACCATTCAGTTGTAGCAGCAAATGGTACTCCATAGAACCCATAATAGACAACAGCTGTAAATAGCACGCAGCACACGTACTACGTGCCTTTTTTCTTGTAATTGACAAGTCCAGTCTTAATAACTCATCTTTGCTTAGCATAGGGCAAAGAATGTCAGGTGTCTGCATTTATTGTTTTTTCTCTGCAATTTATAAAATCTATTCCAGAGGCATCAAAATCTATGAAGGAGACACGGTTTGGCCATACTCTAATTCTTGAAGTTACGCATTGGCAATTATGTCAGCGGTAGTGACAACTGTAAAGAGACATTAGGAACTACTAGAGGATTGAATGATGCCTAAGGGAAATCAAGCTAAAAGCCAGTAAAAAGTTGAGTAAACACTGAAGACATGTGTGAGGATATACATGTCTATCCAACTATATAAACATCCATACATTTACTCCTTCTTTCT